GCTGCATGCCGGTGTGGCGTCGTTGATCGTATTCGCTCGCAACCTAGCGACAGCATCGCTTGCCGGGTAGCCGCGCCCTGGGACGGTAGTAAAGTCTCCTAAACGGCCAGTCTATAGTTGGCCAATAGGTCACGTTGACGTCGCCTTCGTCCGCACCTAAAAAGCATTGGGAAAGGCGGGAAACTCGCGCTGACCTGCCGCAATGGGCGAGGTCTAGGCAACATCTTAAGTGGCCAATGTATAAGGTGGCACCTTGCCTAGACGGCGAACCTGGCAGAGAAAGGGGAAAGTGCGTGGAGATTGCAGAGACGCAGAGGGTCATGTAGAGGGCGACTAAAATGTACCCCTGAGTACATTTTAGTCGCCGTCTATCTGCGTCTCTTCAATCCCCATGCACTTTCCCCTTTCTCTGCACGTCATGCATTGGTCGCATTGAGCGTCTCTGCGTCCCTGCCATGCGCAGAGCGCAGGGAAGAAAGGGGTTCGTGGAAGGTGTTGAGTGTGGGCAGCAAGAAAGCCACTGGAGCTATCGATAATATTGATAACTTTCTGCCAATAAGGTGATCAGCTGTTCCACTTATTGATCGTGTTATAGCTCCTTCCTTGGTCCTGGGAGCATTTCACTACTGTACAATCATCTAGGCCATGATCCTAGGTTCAAACACGTCGATTGGCGCAGTGGTTCCTTGTTGACATTGGATCGCTCGCGGGATCAGTTCTCCATGATACTGGATGTTTTGCAACCCTCATAGGATCCTACCTTGCTTTCTACAATTCTTTCGAAGTAACACAGCAATGCTTTGTGGTGCAGTGGCAAACGTCGCGCTCATGGGCGCTGCATTACATGGTTCAAGTCCATGGCGACGCGACTTTTGCTAGGAATGTAGTGAAGCTCGCCATTCAGAGCGGGGTCATCTGGCTGTCTCGCCTTTCATTATTCACCGTTTACGGCCGTAGTTCACCACCTTTAACTCCCAGTCTATGGCACTTTACTACCGTCCCTGGCAGTCTTCACCACGCCCTTGGTGGCAAAAAGGGAGGCTCAGAAGGTAACCTACAGCAGTGGAGGGAGACAGACGGAAATCGACCATGTGCTGGTAAGAAGATCATCCCTCAAAACTGTGAAGGATATCAAAGTACTACCCGGCGAAGAACTGGCTCCCCAGCACAGGCCCCTCCTGGCAGACATTGCCATAGACCTCCCCAAGAAGACAAGGGTAAGAACCGAGAGGAGAATCCGGTGGTGGAAGTTGCACCAAGCAGAGAAGAGTGACCTCAAGCGAAGGATAATGGAAGTTGGTCTCCCAGATCCTAAAGGATTGGTGAAGCAGACAACGGGCTGAGATATTCCTACGATGTTTCCAAGCAGGTGAGAGTCGAGACGAGAGGGAATTCAGGGGAGATAAGGAGGCACGGCTCCGCAGTAGGGAAGTCCGCTGGGTCTTGGAAGAGGAGAAGAAGGAAGCACACAAGCGCTGGCAAGACACGAGGGCCAGAGGACGTAGCCGGTAGGAGGCTTGCTAACGCAATCATGCCAAGGCAGAGAATACGGAAATGGTCGCCTTGTAGGTCGAAATGCAGAGAATTTCGTCTACAGACTGACGAAATCGGCACCAAGCTGCTCAAAGATATCAAGCTGGTGAAGAGTGTAGAGAGCAACAACGGCCATCACCCAGAGAAAGCCAGCTGAAGTCCAGGAGATGTGGGAAGAGTGCTACGATGCTCTTCCACAAGGAGTCCTTCCACGAAGACAGCCCACGAGAGCAGCAAATGCCCGTCTTGCTGTGGACAAAGGATGAGGTTAGTTGAGAACTAGGAAGGATGAAGGTTGGAAAGGCGGTTGGGTCCAGATGGGGTGCCAATCGAGGCATGGAAGGCGCTCGGAGAGTACGGGATAGATGGCTCACACGATTCCTCAACAAGGTAACTGCGGAAGGAAGGATGCCGGATGCCTGGAGAACAAGCACTATCGTCCCCATCTTCAAGCAGAAGGTTGGCGCGATGGGCTATCCAACTAGTGCGGGTATACCGAATGAACCGAAGATACCGGATGCCTGGAGAACAAGCACTATCGTCCCCATCTTCAAGCAGAAGGGTGACGCGATGGACTGCTCCAACTACCGCGGGATCAAGTTGACTGCGCATACCATGAAGTTGTACGAGCGACTGGTCGACTCGAAACTGCGGGAGCTGGTCCCGATCTCCCAGGAACAGTTCGGGTTCATGCCCGAAAGGTCTACAACGGATGCCATCTTCATCGCAAGGCAAGTGATGGAGAAGTATCGAGAAAAGCGCCGGCCCTGCTAGCTAACCGCCTTCGAACTCGAAAGCGTTCAACCTCGAGCAGTGCTGTGGAAAGCTCAGAGTAGAACGTCTCAGGACACCTGATCTTTCTCGTGAAGGATGTGTAGGATAGGGCTAATAATAAATGAATAAAAAATGTTTTAAATGAATCGAGAGTTTAGAGTGACACAGCGGCTATACCTGCCTCACATGGCCTAATACAGAAGGTAGACGTCACGGTTAGGGTACATCAAGGATAAGCTCTTATGCCCTTCCTCTTCCTTCCAACACATGCACATGTTTTGGTGAGTAATGGTGAAGGGACTAAGGATTGGACCGTTGAGAACCATCCTCTACGCTGACGACATCACCCTAACGCTTCAAAGGAGTGGAGGACTTCCGATACCGTGAGAGCGATATAGGTATTGGGTATTAGGGAGCAGCAGTAAAGGCAAGCACAGGCACCATTCGAAGCAGTAGCAAGGCTGCAAAGAAAGCCACATGTAGCGCTTCCACGACAAAGGTGCGCTGGTTGCCGAGCAGTACCTGGAAACCGCAACTCTCTCTGACCGCTCTACCCACTAATCTGGTTGGAAATTAGGGCGAGCTCCATTGTTAGTGGCGATATCGTTCGCTTTCATTTTGAGAAGCATTTCACTCCAAGCGGCTGTAACTTCAAACTTGTCTGGGTGGAGCCTTATCATTCGAAAAGGTATACTTGTTGGGATGATACCAACTATCAGGAATACATGTCTAGACCATTGGGCGATAACTATAAGACACCTATCAACCAGGAAAGGGGTAGCACTGAATCCGCGGATTTTGGAAGCGTCGGTCTCGCCTAATTGCACAGTCGCATACTCGTTTACGCCGCCAATCGCCTATTCGCGCATTACCCTATTCGCCTCATTGATACGCATCCTTTTCTTTTGACCTACTAGGCTTATCGCCTACTCGCCTAGTCACATGTGCGATCCCGAACACTGAAGCCCGTCTTAGACCCAACTTTATGGTTCTCAAACCAGATCGCGGCATCCATTGCAGAGCGACCCACATCGCTGCCCGTAGTGCTCGCGCAACCCTTTGAGCCTGGACGGTGCAGAATTTTGCACTTGCAACCGAACGCAACCTATAAATGAAAGCTTTCAAGGAATGATACGCTGGATCAAAATCTCATCCCAATCGAAAAGGGTTCATTAGGCTACTTTTACATGGTGCGACGGCAAGCGATGACATTACTGGCACCGGCTCAAGCAATTGAACGGCTAGCAGGTAGGAGATGATGATGATGACATATGATACAACGACATGCTCAGAGACAATCGTGCTCTAACCTAAGCCTACGTAATACTGAATCTTATTTTAAACTCACCACGGTTATCCGCAGAGTAAGCATTCCTTCCGACTTGATTGCGGCGATGAATCCGACAAATGAAACCTCACCGAGCGTAGGCTTCTCGTGTCTTATCGCTTGTCAACAGTTCCTGTTAACACAGGTTTGACAGTAGAATCATGTTCGACGTGCTTGAACACGAATGGACGTGTCAAATGCTGTAAGTTAAAGCTGGTGGGGATTATCCGTGATTATCCCTAACCATAAGTTACATGAATTAGAGTGAGCAGGGTAGGGAAACGTATAGGTACACTACAAACTGTCGCAACAGTTGACTCTCTTCACGCCCTCCTTTCCACCTTTCTGGGACTTTCCTTGATTCCAGTCCTATTTTCCGTCCACACTATTTATCAAAATATTAGCGCTTTCTGTTTTTATCATAGCTCAACATAACCTTAACACGTTGACGACAGCGTGACGCGGTGAACGCGTCCCACCCAAGTCATCCCTTTTTCTTGCGCTTGTGCGACTTATTCCTAAGGTCTTTGTACTCATTCTATAGGCCATACATTAGCATACTTAAAAACCACATGGCTCACAGAAAGGCCAAATATTCTTTAGTTTGGCAGAGGTTTTCCAGACCTTACGGATATGTCTGTTCAGTTCATTCCTCGTTTCTTTTCATTGACGTAAGAATAGTTTTGAAACTATTAGGTCGGTCCATAAGTCTTACATTAAACTGGCCGAATTTTGAAATTAATATTTTTATTATTT